CCCCTATAACACTGTTGATTATTCCGTTTTATATGAATTCCATGTTGTACGAGTCACTTAGATTTTACAAATACATGTGCCGGGTTGTGAATGGCTCACGTATTTGTAAAATCTAAGTGACTCGTACAACATGGAATTCATATAAAACAGAATAATCAACAGTGTTATAGGGGGGTCGACTTGTATATAAACATTACTTTTGAGTTAAAAAAATAAAGATTTTAAGCATCTTCGATTTTATAATTTCCTAGTTTTATATAGAAAACAACTACAGTTTTCTATTATAAGTACAAAATGTTTTCTTTTTTTTTTCTGAGATTTTTTTCTCTCTCTCTCTCTTGTGATATCTGAAGAATTAGCTCTTCCTATTTTTTTTTCTTTTATAAAAAAAAAAGTATTCAATAGAGTTGAAGGAAAAATTCACGAACTCTAATTACATCTCTGTCAATACAAGAGAAGAACCCGGCCGTTTTAATTATAAAAAAAACGAAGGAAAAAAAAAGGGACTTGTTCTTCAATCAAGACAAAGCTTTTAATAGCTACCACTAGATGGCAAAGAAGGATGTTGTAAACTACGCATGCTTAGAAGGAGGAAGTAAAGGAGCTCGGACACGTGTGACGTCAGTCGACTGTGTATGGTTTGACGGTGCATCTCGTGTCTAATCTCTCCTCCGAAAGGTGGACAATGTGACGTAATTAACTGGACAGTGATCGGTGTTATTGACGGCGCCATAAACGAAACACGGCCGGTGACGTCACACCGTTAGACATTTTCTCTAACTATGTTATTGTCAGTGATGACAGGATCGGTTGTTTGCCGTTCGTTCCCCACTTTATCACAGAAGAAGCTGTGGTTCTTAACTGTATTCGCTGGTTTGTTATTCTCCAGTGGGTCATGCTCTATTGTGGGAGGTAAGAACTTTCTGTCAGAATCTGTAATAAAAAAAGAAAATCTATACAGTTTAGATTCAACTTTAAAAAAAAAAAAAAGTTTAAATTTGAATTATTAAAAGATTTTTTTGTTTAAGTCATTTAATAACATCTTAAATTTTAATTAATTAATTTATTAACTTATATAATAATAAACGAAAGATTTAAGGAATAAAAATGAGAGGGGAGAGAGAGTTAAAAACTTGATACGACACGGTGTTTATCGTTAATGTGTCATTAGTGACGTGTTAATGATGAACACGAATTAACTGACTTCACTAGTAATTATTATCAATTGACATTTAGTTCATTGCAAAAATGACACGATAAGAAAATTCTAGCAAAATTTTCTCATTAAACAAAATATAATTTCTGTTTTGCTAATTGATATCTCTCTTTATCACACGATAATAAGAGTCCACATAATAGTCGAAGTTTTTATTTAATTCCTCCTATTTATATATATATATATATATTGAGTTTGTTGATGTAAGGTTTGTTTAATTACGAAGACGACAATTATTTTTCTCTTGTTGTTTGGTAAATGGGCGAGAACGTGAACATTCAAATCCGGCTTTGATCGTAATTAACCGCAAGCTGTGGGTAACCATTGGTAACTCTGTATGGCGCCGAATTATGAGTTCGAAATGTTGGCTATCGCTTGTTGATCGTCACGTGCCAGCTGTCGCCCTTCCCACCACCACCTGCGATAGTGAGGGTTCCAAGCGCCATCTGGCACCGTGTTGGCACCGTTTACATGACGTCACTGTCTGAGCTGTAACCGACTCATCCGTATAACAATGGCTTCGATTTTTCGTCATTTCGAGAGCCAATTAATCGTTTGTTTATGAGGATAAAAGTTCGGCGTATTTTTGTATAACCATAAACATTAGGAATATATGATACTGATAAGATTTGTTACTGCTCATTCTATTATGTCCAAAGCGTTCTGTGACACATACACACACACGCACACACACTAATCACTAAGGCCGATGATTGTCCCAAACATCTTTCTCTCCCTCAAGGCACCTTGTACGGGGCGTCACAGACGAACGCCCCTGTTCGTTTTGTTTGCCCTGCTATTACCCTTATTCATATGACGGAAGAGTAGGTTGAGTCTACTTCCGTTTGCCTAACTCACCTGAGTGTCGATGTCACTGACAGAGCGATCGTTACAGATGCTGACTAATATTATTATAATATAATAATATATTGAATTTTTCTTTCGATCTATAACAATGATCATCATAACTTTTACTTAAATAACAATAAAATATAAATGATTTATGGAGAAATGAATCGGAAAATATTACTATAAAATTTATTTATTAAGTCGTACACGACTTAATAAATAAATTTTATAGTAATATTTTCCGATTTAATTGAATTTTTATTAGCTACATTCACGTATAAAAGCTTACAATGGAAACTAATAATGTTTACTTTTTCAATTCTGAAGTTTTGAGTGAAGATACAGTCGACCCCCCCTATAACACTGTTGATTTTTCCGTTTTATATGAATTCCATGTTGTACGAGTCACTTAAATTTTACAAATACGTGTGCCGGGTTGTGAACGGCTCACGTATTTGTAAAATATAAGTGACTCGTGCAACATGGAATTCATATAAAACGGAATAATCAACAGTGTTATAGGGGGTGGGTCGACTGGGATTGTATTAAACTTTTTAAATGTACGATTGAATTAATAATCGATTCTTTTTGTGTTAATGTATTGTTTATATTGCATTGTTTGATGTACAGTACGGAAATAAGTAAATAGAATAGTTTAAATAAATGAGAGAAATGAAAATGGCGTCATGTTCAGAGCAAACATTTTGTGTTAAATGACTGGAAATTTCTAAAAGCAAAACATTGTATCTTTTAATCAAGCGATTTGTAATCCAGTTTGTTCTATTAGATCGATACGATTATAAGTATTACTTTTGTTGTAGCTGGATCTAGACACCACACAAAACTTGGTTAATACTTCAGTAGTTTTACCAAAGATTTAATAATAAATTAATTCACTTATTATAAATTGATGTATAAGAATTGATCGATAATATTATTAAGTAAGGTTTAATAAGTAAAGATTTATACAAAATATCTATGTTTCGGTGATGATAAAATAAAATCTTACTTATTATATATTAAAAAAAAAAACATTTTAAACATATATTAAAGATGCTTAATACAGTGCTTAAAATAGAGAAAAATTAAATACATATAACGAGTTATTATATACAGTCGACCCCCCTATAACACTGTAGATAATTCCGTTTTATATGAATTCCGTGTTATACGAGTCACTTAAATTTTACAAATACGTATGCCGGCTCACGTATTTGTAAAATTTAAGTGACTCGTACAACATGAATTCATATAACACGGGATTATCTACAGTGTTATAGGGGGGTCGACTTGTACAGTACATTAAATAAACTAGCATTTTAAATCTACTATTGACTTAATATATACAATAATATAGTTATTATATTTAATTTTTTTTTGTTAGAAAAACATAAAATATACCGTAATAAATGATTATATTTTATTCAAAGAACTTTTATTACTATAAACTTGCTTTTTTTTTTAAGAAAACGAAACTTTAAAGAGAGTTTTTATGTTCGGTATATGATTCATTATTTATTGTTGTTTTTAGTCTTTTTTTGAGGGAGAAAAAGATTGAAAGTTCTATTGGAATATTCGTACGGTTTTTTGGATTTTTTGATACGTTGACATCAGAAGTTTCGAGTTAAGTTTTTAAACCAGAAACATACTTTGTTGTAATAAGTGTTTTAGCGATTGGAAAAGAGTTTATTTGCTCCAGTAGTTCGAGATTGCAAAAAGTCATTTGTCTTTACCCAAGAAAAGAGGGAAACAAAAATGAAATGCTGCTACGAAATGACAGATAGACATTACAAAGAAAGTCGTTAAGCTTAGTTCGTTCAACGTCCGTTTGGCATCGTATGGTGATAGATGGATGAAGAGCGAAATGATTTAGTCTGAATTAAATGCTAGAAATTCATTTAAAAATTCTTCTTTTTCTTCACTTTCTTCTTTATGCTAAATTAATTTTAATTTGACAATTGAATTATTCTTCTACTTAAAAAAGTTCTCATTAAAATCTCTTAGTAACAAGAAACAAGCGTTAACTCTTCTCTTCTTTTTAAGATAATCAAGAAGAAAGACTTAAAATAAAATTTATTAACGTGGTTAATTTTGACTAAACTAAGAATTTAACGTGTCTTTTATTTATTTCAATGATATTTTTTAGCGTTAAAAGAAATTTTACTTGTATTCTTTTACCATTATTTATTTATTTTTTCTTAAGCTCTTAAGCTAGATAATTAAAAGAGATATAATAAGTAATTTGATAATTGAATTTTTCTTTATAATCTCATTAAATCTATTATTATTATACTGTACAAGAAATTAATAATGTTAAATAATTATAAATGTATTGAAATACGTATTGATTTCATATAAAATTGATACATAAAAACTTCATACATAGAAAATTTACTTCTATATTAAATCATAATATATTTTTTTAAAGATATAAGGCATGAATTCATTCGTTTTCTTTTTAAAAAATATTCATTTCGATTCTTTTTTTCCTTTTATATTTCATATAAATTTAATTCATTCTCTGTTGTTACTGAATAGATGAATATATAATTGGTAATATATGATAATTTCACGATATTAATATATTTTTTTCCATTTTAAATTCTTATCTATCAACTTTTATTTGCATCGAATGCAAATTACTTTTTACTTTTAGAAAACTCGAAATGAAATTACGATAAGAAATTTTTGTGTAAAAGTCTTTGTAGAAAATAATTTCAAAAACATTCATTTTTTTATTATTGAATTCCTTTAAAAATTTTTACTGTAAACAATAATAAAATACCGTATTTAAATGCAAAAAAAATCGATTTATTCGGTTGATTTTATTGATTTTTAAGTAAAGTTAGAGGAATCTTTAAATTTAAACCCCCCCTCGATTTAACATGTGTATTATTTCCTTAGTAAATGTAACCTTAACCATGCAGATGTCGAATTTGAAAAACCATTTAAAATCTTATCTACATAAAAGAACAATAAGTTAATTAGAATATTTTCACAAAATTAAGATAAGTCACTTTCCATTATATTACATGGTGAAAGTACCATCTGAATTTCATTTCAAAGAAATTGAAAAAAAAAGTCTGTTAATCTTTACCAGAATAAAAAGCATAGAAAACAAGAAGAAAAAATGGTATATCAACAGCTGCATGTTAATTTCCATAGATATAATGGTAAAAAAAAATTAATAATAATATCTTTAAAACTTGTTAATAAAATAGTATTAATTAATTATATTTTTATTATATGAATAATATATAAATTAATCGTAAATGAATAATGAGGAATGTGTCTGGGCTGACTAACATAACGATGCTAATAGCGTGTCTTACTTACAAACCCATTTATCTATATCACCGTTCTAAAATGATGTCGGGATATTACCTATGCTAAATAATCACTAACGAGAACACTTAATAACTTTATGCATTCAGAATTTCGTAAATTGCTTTTAACTCGGTTCGTTTGATTATGAGATAGGTTATACTTTGTTAAAATTGTATTTTTACTTACAGAGGACGAATTTTTAATCCCTGACGTTAGCTCCTTTTCCTTGTCTTTCTTTCTCTCTCTCTCTCTCTCTCTTATTAAAGGAACATGCGGTAATATTTGGATATCTCATCTACTTTACTACATCTGGTGACATTCTCATGTAAAGATCCATTTAAAAGATGTGTTTATTGTTCTAATAGATGAAAAGAGAGCATTTTAATCGACCCATCCCCGAAATGTCTCCACTCGTACTTTAATTCAAGCAAATTTAATCAACTTTCCCTTCAAAAATCAATTTGCAGTAGGTTTTTTTTTGTTCAAAGAAGTTTACGGAACCTTCGTAAAAAAAAAATGT